ATTCTCATAATCCTACACAATGGGCATACAGTGCTTAGTGGAGCATGGTCCTTCCAGAGGAGATCAATCCTGTATTCTGTGCTCTTGTCTTGACACTTTTAAAATTATCCTTCTTTCCACCCAGCATATTAATTACTACCATTTTAAAGTCTTTTACTCCGTATATTAAAACCAGGTAAAAACAGGAAATGTTGTTTTGCATGCAGAGTTTTATTGTCCTTTTTTCTAAATGAGGTGAAATGGGGTAACATTTTGAGTGCAGTTTCAAAACTACAGGATTAAATGTTGATGGCTTTGGGGGGAACTTAGCTTGCATATTCATTAATCATAAAGCACTCAATTGAGCACAAGGCTGTGGATAAAGGGTCTGTGGCATATAGTCCTCTGCACACAGGAAATATTTGCCTGAAGCATAAAGGGGCAATGTGGACCACGTCTATAACCTAACAAGAACTTCTCTGGAATGAAGAGAACACTCCTGATTCAGATGACTAGCTGGTTCATTTTCCACTTCACCCCCCTCTCCAAGCGCTGTATGCTGTATGAGAGTTAATACGCACCTCCTAGCTTTGTGAATATAAATGAGGCACCTGACAGACCTCTGGACTCTTCTATTTATTTTTAATGCCTGGGAATATCAAACTACTCCACTACAGAGTGTGATACCTGAAACACCACGATTACTCTCAACTTCTGTAGGAAAAATTGGTGGATGTGAGGGCAGTGGCTACAACACAGTAGTTGCTTAATATGCTCAGAAGATCCTAGAAAAAAAGATCAGAAAAGAAAGGTTAATTAAGAAGATATGGGGAATAGAATAAACCAAGAAGCTGTTTCTTTCTTAATATTACTAGAGTTCTACTTTGCTAAATAGGAAATGTTTTCTTAGTTTAATTTAGACAAAGGAAATACATCTGCCTACTCCAAAAATAATCCAGTTCCAAAATTTTAACCTCCACACTGTCTGACATAATGGTCTTGATTCTATTTTATAACCTGGTTCCCCACTCTCATCATCCAGGATGACAGCTGTCTCCAGTCTCCATACTGGTTTGCTCCAGTTACCTACATAAAAAGAGTCTTTAGTGTTCCTGGTTTCTCTAAGACATTTTTGTAGTGAAACGTCTATGGCGTGGCCCACTGAGGATACAGCAACCTTTTTGACACCTGTCTTTCAAAGCCTTAACAACCCATCTTGGAGACTTTTAAAAAACTGGTGTCTGATGTGCTATACCAGTTGTTGCTCATTGAGCAAGTTAGTTTTACATCACTGGGCAGAAACTTGCTAAAATATGCTCCTACCCCTTTTCTCTTGAATGTTAGCTTTGACAGACATGTCCAGCCTGTCACAAGGGGATTCAGTCAGGTCTTGCAGGGAACTTGTTGAAAATGCCACGTCCCTGAAAATGCCATATACCACTGAAGAGCCTGCTTTCCAGTTCTGGAGATGAGACGCTGCAGATTTTTGCTGCTCCTTGAGAACTGGAATGTCTTAATCCTGTGTGACCTGGCTAACATTATTCCAGGTTTTATTCCCTTTTTGCTTATGGCAAGTGCTGAGATTTCGTCCTGCATGTTCGCTGTTGCTTATTAAGATCGCCTGTTGAACTCCGTAGTTTTATTGGTTTTTTTTTTTCGTTTTGGTGCCTTAAAGTGCATGCCTCTCTCTTGAGTCTGTTTGGGCATACGGGCCCAAAGAACGAAGTTGTGGGTTAGGAATGTACAGCTCATGGTCCAGTTCTGGCCTGCTAAGCAGTGTTTTGGCTCTCTGGGCTGGATAATGGTGGCGGGGAAATGGCGGCAGCAGTAGCCTGGCTTTGGACCTAGCTCCGTTCATTCAGCCTACTGCTGTTGAAAGGTTGCTAACCCTGAAGTGACTTTTTCCCCCTATTTCTTCACAGTGTTCTTTCATATTCTCCATTTTTATATACAAATATCAGTACATTTCCCATAAATGTAAAGGGTTCCAAATGCACTATTTATCATAGCTTCCTGTAGGTGTTAGTAGTGGTATTTAATTATGTGGCTTTTGCCCACCAGCACAAAAACAATCTGTGAACAGCTGTGGTGTACCTGTTAACTTGATTTGCCTGAAGTGAATATCTTTCTATCAGAAACACTTCTGTTGGCAAGGATCTCTCCCATACCAGAGAAACAAGCCCAAACTTAAGTGATTAGGTCAAAACTTACAAGGAAAGAGGAGATATCCAGCCATTTCTTTTAATTTTAATCCTGCTCAGATGTTGTGAACTGAAGATGGGACTTTGTTATTACTGCGTTTGTTTGGTTTAGATGCTGAAAGAATTAAAAAGATAAAATCTGAGGTTTTTATTGTTGACCAAGACTAAGGGAGAAGAGCTCCATCATTAGTGATCAATTTATGTGCTCTGGTGGGTGAGAATTGCAGTGAGGATGAATGCTTTGAATGGCTGTAATGTGTAGTCTGTTTGGGTAGGAACAGATGATGCCTTTGTGCTGCCGTAAATTTTTTTATGACAGCAAAGTGATAGGAAATAGATATTCCTACCTCTTTTCATGCCACAAATGCCCAAAAGGGAGTGACAGAATGATAGAAGAGAGTAATTTGTGCCACTTCATTGTAGTGCCGGTCTGTTTACTTATGGTAGGAGAGCATGGGCATCTCAGAGCTGTCTGCACTCTCCAGCGGCTTGAAGGGCCTGATTCTGGGCATGCCAGGAATTCCCAGGCAGAATCAGGCCACTCAAGCCCTTGGAGTACTTGCTTTGCTTACCAGGGTATGCTCCTGGGATCTCTAGGTACGTGTCTGGGTAAGTGGGGTAACGGTTTCTCTGCTCACTGAGACATGTCCCTGGGATGTTAGGGATGTCCCCCAGCAAAGTAGGGAAACCTCTGACCAGTGCTTCACGTGTAGGCATGGGTCAGCACAGGTCCTGGCAAGAAGGCATGGAGTGGCGGGAACTGAGGAATTCCTGGTGTCCTGTGCTTCCATGCTAGAAGGTGTGCCAATCTATCTTCACATGGAGGCACAGATCTCTTGGCATGGAGGCATGTAGTACCAGAGATTCCCCTGAACCCGTGCCTCCATGGGTCCTGACAAGGAGTAGCAGGGTAGCGAGGAACGTGGGGAATCCCTGGGCAAAGAGAGCATATCATCCATGCCCTGTATTGGGCCATGTGTGTTCACGCAGTAAAGTGAAGGCCAGGCCATAAAAACACATCTGAAAGATGCACTTAGCTTGACAGGTTTTCTTTTCCTCTTAACTATTAAGTAACAAACTGTATTGACATTGAACAACATACTATAATGTAACCTGTACTCAGACTATTCTCCCACTGGCTGCTTTGTTTGAGTAAGGCTCATAGGGTGTGTAGCTTGTTGAGCAATCAACTGCTGAGGTTTCCTTGGCAGGCATTTCCTTACTAGACAGATGAGGATAGGACTAGTTCTCTAAGCCGAATTCCTGAAAACAGAAAAAAGGGATTTTTTTCCCCCCCTTATGACCCTGTAGACTTTGGAGAAAATACTTTCTTTCTGCTGTGGTTGCAGAGACCAGGAAATTTAAGTTTCTGTTCAGTAGTGACAGTTGAATTGTACCTGGATCAGTGAGGAAGGGTAAGGGTGAGAGATGGATTTCATTTATCTTTCTGGAAATTGCTTATAATTGGCAGCTCTTAACTGATTGGTGTCCTTAAAGCTGGAGTAACTCAAGATTTGTCTACTTGCAGAAGTGCACTGATTCACAAGTCCTAATTAAATTATCTACTAGTTAGAAAAGCCCCCAGCTGGGGAAGGATCTTGATTCAATAAAACTGTTTAAGGTAAAGGTGACTATGCACTGAAGAGCTTTCCTGAGCTCAGGCAAATACTGAATAATTTCTCTGAGGTATAAAATAAATATAAGATCAGGTATGTATGTGAGAGAGGGAGGGAGAGAGGGCCCAGTATTGTAGGTTAAAATAAAGGCAGGGTGACAAGCAGTGAGAAGTGGCATGAGCTGCATATATTGAACAGTTTTAATGTGGACTGGTAACCAGATGCACTGTGCGCAAGTCATAGCTTGTGTAGTGTAATTAAGCCATGATTACAAAATAAAAGCATTTAGACGAATTAATCATGGGGATCATTATCTTCTGACTAGACAAAAATAAAGTTCTAGCATTTTTCATGCTTGCTAAGCCAGGGTCTAGATTGGAAGAGACCTGAGGGGATCAATGTAATGTAAAAATGTAGATGTTTGCTAATTTAACTTCTTTTGATTTACATTCTTCTACTTTGCCAGCCTCTGGGAATGTGCAGCAGTAAATGTATGATTAGAATAAGATCTGCCTTCATTGTGGCCTTTTGCCTTCTCCATTTGAAGCATTTAAAGTGTTGGAGGCCCTGAATTCAATTTGATGACATGTCTCCGAGTGTCTTTCAGTGCTTTGACTTCACAATTTTAACTTGTCTAAACTTTTTTTTTGAGTGTTCCTGTGTAGACATTGAGGCTTTCAATAGCTATTTACTTCCAGGTTCCTTTGTCTCTCCTAAACTGCAAAGGTCAGCATGCTTGCACAACCAGCCAGCCAAGAGAGGGTAGTATGCTCTTGCAAGCCTGCATGATATCTGACTCTGCTGTCACAGAAGGAGTTTAAAAATGCCTAGTGAAAGTGATGGGAACTGCCTTGGGTTGGTATTCTGCGTGATCATCCACAAGTACATTTGCAATATTTTTGTACTGTAAGATGAGCTGCAAGGAGAAATACCAACAGCTTGACTGATCATGATATTTCAGGGTAACTTTTTAATGATCTATAACTCACAGCTGAAGGTTTTACTATTTCTTCTTTTACTACTTCTCTTTTTCCTTCCAATTATTTGGCTATTTTTAGGTTGAAGTTTTCTGAGGTGAATAGAGGACTAAAAAATTAGGATTTAGAATAGAAGCTGGCTACATATCTTACCATGATACAGTCTGAAGATATTAAGCTGAGTAAGATGCATCTGACTATCTCTGTCTGCTTTTTCCCCTCCTCAGTGTTGGACTTCCCTTTGAGAGCCACCTGCCACCATGAATTTACGACTCTTCATAGTTGCTGGTCTCCTCGTGCACTGTGTGTTCTTGGCCTCTATTTTTGACATCTACTTCACTTCTCCTTTGGTTCATGGCATGACTCCTCACTATAATCCCTTGCCGCCACCTGCAAAACGACTAGTGCTCTTTGTTGCGGATGGTCTGCGGGCAGACTCGTTATATGAAATTGAGGAGGATGGTAGTCCTAGAGCACCTTATCTTAGGTAAGCTTGTTAGAAGACATACTTGTTTTGGAAGTTTGTCATAGTGCAAATTGACCGTTAGACATCTCACAGAAGTGTTTATCTTGGGAACAAGAGGAACAATCTCAGAAACACAGTAATGTATACCCAAATCCTCTGATTTTGAGGGTGAGGTATTTGTTGCAGAATAATGCTTTACAGATGTGAATGGAAATCATCATAGTTGTGAAGAAAACTATTAGACCAAATGTATATTGATGCAGTATTGTTACCTTGAGTCTACAGATACTTCCTGGGCCTGAAATAGAGCTCTAAGCTTCCTCTGTCTCAGTTGCATGTTGACACTGAAGCCTAATTACTGGCTATTTTTAATGGTTTTTCCTCTTTCTTTTTTTTAAACAGGAATATCTGATGTGCTTATCCTACAGTTCAAAACAGTCTCTTGGGGTTTCGCTTCATCCAGATGCTAAAAGTTTGAGTTTCCCAAACCTGTGTCCTGTGTTTCAACCTTTTTCAGCCAAATTTTAAACTTAATGTGGGGGCAACACTAAACTGAATGTTAATCACAGTAAACTTCTAGTGTATCATAATTTACCTGAAGCTTTTATGGAGCTTTGCAGACTTACCTGTAGCTGACTCCCATTGGCTGTTCTTGAAAGGTGTCGACTCCCATTGGAAGCTGTATGCTACACTAGAGGAAGGCTTTCCCATAAACAGTAACATCTTCCCTGATCTGGGATGACTGCCTTCCATATCAGTGCATTCCTTACACATTTAAAAAATTGCCAAATATGACTATAGTTTTTTGGTATGGATATAATCTGCTAGCAATAATCCAATGCAAAGAGCTATCATGAGTAGATTTTGCCCTTGGAGAACTTGTCCTGATTCAGAACAGTGAGATGCTGTTGAAATATTCTGTCTCATTAGTACAGCTTAATCATACAGTGAGATAGCATCTAGCCTATCTTTTCCCCTTTCAGTTTCTAGTGGATTTTGTTCCTCTGCATTAAGCATTTGGGAAGAAAGGATTCCCAGATCCATCCTTTCTAACATGGGGAAGCTTGCCCTTTTGCTGTCTCTGCTTCTGTGGTTTGTGGAGTGACAGAAGACTCAATTTGTTAGTGCAGTCAATCAGGTACATTTCTCAAGCACTGAATTTACTTGTTAGGGTTTTCTTCTTCCTGTTGATTGGGTAAGACACCAAAAGGTCAGAGGACGGCATAAAATACCAGTGAATTTTTAAGCGTGGCCTCTAGAGGTGTTAGTAGGAAGGAAAAAACATGTAGCATTTTCTGCCTTTGAAAAATGCCCCCAAGAGATCTTTTCAGTGCTGTTGTGTACACTTCTGTCACTCAAATGGGACCTGGAACTTCTCCCTTCTACAAGCCCCTGAACTATCTTGTTAAATGCGTCCTGTAAAATAAATCAGTAAGATCAGATATTGGCTGCTGGCACTGATATTTTGTTGTTACTTCGGCAGGATCTCCGTGTTCCAGCTTTTATGCCTGTCTATGATATCAAATTATGCAGTTTATACTAAGGAGTACTTCTTCAGCTGAGCACTTGGCATTATCCCCACTACTGTAATGGGCTGTGCAGCAACAAGACTGCTTATCTTGTCCACGTGGAACACTTCAGAAGCTATTGTTTAATGAGGGAGATTATTTTTAGTGAGCAAGAACTATTCTGATAGTGATGTGCTAGAAGTGGCAGCAGAGTTTTTTTTGTAGACAATTAAAATGAATAATAATTATAATCCACGGTGCTTGGAACAGCCTGCTGACCAGTATATGCCAGGCTTCCTGTGGTGTCCTCTTCAGCAAATCTTGAAATCCATTTGTTCAGTAGTGTGCCTTAGCTGCCAGAGAGATTTTTCTGACTACTTTTTGTGGTTTTGCTTTCTAGGAAGTATAGGGAAGGGATGCTTTTTTCAGTTTGCTAGCATCCTATATCTGCAGTAAATTAACTTAGATGTTACAGTCATCATCTTTGTTTTTCTGGGTTGCTTATACCTGTGTGGCTAAGGGGGACTTATCTATTGGTGGAAGTACTTATTAGCTAATAATTTTAAAGTGAACATGTGGAAAGACAAGTCCTGTTTCAGCTATATTTTCTTTGACTTGTATTTAGCATCGCTTGAGGTAGGATCTCAAAAACAGATAAGGAGTCATCTTTAAATGCAGTTGAAACTGGGTTCTAGTTAAACTAATTTTGTAATTGGGTTGCTTGCTGACTGCATATAAGACCTTACCTTTTTGTAGAACCATTTCCTTTAGAAAGAAAAACACCCTGGAAAAAAAAAACACCTTTGTGCTAACAATTTGCTTCAGTCATACTCTCCAGATGAAGCATTTTAGCAGGAATTAAGCTTAAAAAAATGTAAAACCCCTTAAAAAATCTTGTCTTAGTTCCAAGCTAGATGAGACCCTGACTAATCATTAGCATAGACAACCCAGGGAGCAGAATCTAGGCTTCCTAACCTTTTGGAGCAGTACCCTCTTCCCTGAATCTGTTCTCCCTCCTTCTGGCCCCATGTATTCCTCTCTGCCCCTGGCTCATCTTCAAAAGGAGGGATGGAAGGTGCTCTCAGCTCTGCGGGGCTTGTAGTGTGTTGCTTGGGTCACTTGGCTACAAAGTGGGAGGTGTCAGTTTAAACCCACTTAGGATGAGGGGAGGAAATCTAGAATTTGTCTAATTTCTTGGCCAGATGTTTGAATCACTCACCTTTTTAGCAGATATGTGTTTGGGCTCTCCTGTAATGTAGATGAACATCTCATCACAGTTGGTATAGGATCTTGAGAAAATGGAGGTGCATGATATGTAGCTTTGAATTAATACATCCCTGATGCACAGGATTTCCTGGTGGCTGTTCGTAGACAATTCTGTATACTCTGGAGATGCGTGAAGCTTCCAGTTGTCAGAGCAAGCAACCACTGTGTAACCCCTGGCTAGAATAAGATTGGGCTCTGGAGACATACCAGTTTGCCCATGGACTGGCGCGAATGGTAAAGCTGTGCCTACTTCTCCCAGAAAAGGACTGCTTTCCTGAGGTGAAGTGCCTTCTTTTGGCCAAATGGCTGCTAAAGGCTTAGACCTCTAGTAGGTCGAGAGGATTTAGACCTTCATGTATAGCTTTGACTAACAAACCAGATTTTTTCCCATTCTCTTTTGAAAAAAAGTGGGTTCTCCAGAGCTCTTAGATGAACATGATAAATAATATTACTTAAGCAATCAGATAGAAACTAGGGTCCACATAGTTTGCAGACCTATTAGTGAGAATTAACCCGTCTCTTAGTTAATTTTCTAATCCCTGTTAAATTTTACTGAAAAAAGATTTCAAAGACTGCCTCAGCATCCTCCGTCAGCCCTCTAGTTCTTTTCTTACATAAAATATTGCTGTTTATCACAAAACAAATATACACATCCTATTTTTTCCCAATTACATGAGCCAAGACATCGGGTAATGAAGATGAACACAGGGAAATAGCTGTGTTGCTTGTTCTCTTGCTCAAGTTAATTGTCTCCAGCAGATGCTTATGTCAGAAGATTCTCTGAGGCCATTATTCTGTGCTCTGATAATAGAGACTTGGTGTAATGGTTCACATGACTGGAGTACTGTCATGGATGGGTATAACCTGTTCAGGAAGGATTGGGGGAAGGTGGGGGTGTCAAGGAGGTGGTGCTGTTCTATACAACAGTTTATTCTGAGGCCTGGGAGGAAGGTTTGTTGTGAGAGCTTCTAAGTCAAGGTAAGAGGGGAGAACAGTAAGGGTGATGTCATGGTGGGTATCTTCAATAAACCACCAAACCAGGAAGGGGAGGGGAGGGGGAAATCTCTCTCTCAATAAACAAAGGTCCCATATCATAGGATGTGGTTTTCATGGGGGACTTCAGTTACTGTGATGTGTGTTGGGAGGGTAACAGCTGTGCACAGGCTATCTAGCAAGCTTTTGGCATATTTCAGGGATAACGTTTTGATACATGTGGTAGAGAAGCTGACGGGGTGGAGTGGGGGGGTTCTTTTATATTTACGGGTCAGAAATAAGAACAAATTCATCCACTGTCAAGACGGAAGGTCAATTAGGTGTCAGTGATATTGAAAATACAGAATTCAAGGTCCTAAGGAAAGGCATGAAGAAGAGTAGCAGAATAAAGATAATGAACTTCAGAAAAGCATATACCAAACTTGGGGAACTGCTGGGCAGGATCCCTGGGGAGTCAAGCTGGGGGTGGGGGTGGGGAATAATTAGTTGTGGTGAGCTTGTTGTTTCTTAAAGAGTCCACATGGAGAGTTCAAGAGAAAGCTATTGTAATGTAAAGAAAGGATAGTAAATGCACCAAGAGACTTGCCTGGCTAATCAGGAAAGTCTTAAATGAATTGAAAATTGGTCCTTCCAAAAGTAGAACCGTGGCCACATTACTAGGGACGAGAATTGTGCAGTTGTGCAGATAGGAAATTGGAAAGGCTAGTTCTGCAGGCCAAGAAAATCAGATGCAGTGAGCAAGGGATGTAAAAGATGACAAAAAGGGAATCTACAAGTTTGTCAGAAGTAGGAGAAAGACCAAGGAAAATATAGATCCCTTGCTGAATGTGGAGGGCAGTCCAGCAATGAATGTCGCAGAGAAGGCTGAAGTATCTAATGTTCTTTTTACCTCAGTTTTCACAAATAAGGTTAGTTATCAGATGATGAACACAGTTGCCAGCAAGGGTAGGGGAGGAGCTAAGCAACTGAAGGCAGTGGAAGAACAGGTTATGATCACTTTAGAAAAGTGTTTTTGAAAGTAGGGCCAGGTGAGATGCATCCAAGAATGCTCAAGGAATTGGTTGGGGTAATTGCAGAGCCATTGGCTGTTTTCTTTGAGAGCTTGTAGGGGTGAGTAAGGTCCTAGATGACTATATAAGAGCATGTATAGTATCTATATTTTTAAAAGGAAAGGGGAAGTTCAGGGGAATTACAGGTGGGATAGTCTGACCTTGATAACAGGAAAGATTATGAAGTAAGTCATGCAGAAATCTCTATTCCTAAGTATTTGGAGGAGAACCAGGTGCTCAGGAATAGCCAGCATGGATTCACCAAGCACATGTTATGCCTGCCCAACTTGATTTTCTTCTTTGACAAGGTGATAAACTCTGGCTGGGTGGAGAGCAGTAGATGTGATACCTCAACTTCAGCAAGGTTCTTGTCACAATCTTTCATGACATGACATTCTCAGTTGTAAGCTAAGGAAATACAGTCTAGATGAAAGTACAGGGAAGTGGATACGTAACTGGTTTGATCATTCTATCTAAATGAGTAGTCATCAATGGCTCCATGATTCCTTTGGAGGATGTATTGAATAGGGATACCCAGAACTGTGTCCAGTTTTGAGCCCCACACTTCAAGAAAGACATGAACAGTTTGGAAAGAGCCCAGCACAGGGCAACAAAAACAGTTAGGGCTTGGGAGACTAGAGTTATGAGAGAAGGCTGAAAGAACTAGGATTATTTAGTCTGGAGAAGAGAAGACTCAGGTGGGGATTTGATAAGTCTTCAAATACCTGAAGGGTGATTATAGAGAGTAGTTAGGGAGAGGTCCTGAGTCAGGTACCTTTGGATATGGATTGAGCAGACAAGCAGATGGAGAAAAATACTACCACACTCACTCCTGTTCCCCTGCCTCTCACTCAGAAGAGCACTCCCACTCTACCCAGTCCAGCCTTGCTTCCCAACCCCAATTCAATTCCTCCATTTAAAAAAACCTGTTCATCTTGGATCCTTTCTCATTCCCATTTTCTCTTACCCAGGAGATTCCCCTCCTCTCTCCTTTAATATCCTGCTGAAACCGATACCTCCACTCTCACAGGGAGGCTATGACTGTCCCCTAAATCCACCTATTTCCACCAACAAATTGGTTTCTTTCCTTAAGAGAGCATTTGCTAAAAATGTCTGAATCCCCTCTGTCCCCACTGCTTTTGCTGCCAAAGAAAAGCCCAGGGAGGCCTGCAGCCTTTATAAGGGCTGCAGGTTGGTGTGCGGTCCTTCTCTCCTGCAGCATAGGTGGCCAGTGCCCGTGTTGACCCCTTCCCTTTCTCCCTCTTTTGAAGGCCGTCCAGAAAGGGGGTGTGGTGATGTTGGCTGCCCACATTTCCCCTCCCCGCCTCTAAAGAGGCTACAGTCAACAGCTGCTTTAGGATCTCGCAGGAGGAGCAGCAGAGGAGTGATTATAAAGAGGATGAAGATAAGCCATTCTCTGTGGTTGCAGGGGAAAGAGAAATGATTTTAAATTTCTACAAAGGGAAATTTGGGTTGGAGATTAGGAAGAATTTTTTGACTATGAGGGTTTTTTAAGTCTTGGAACAGGCTACCCAGAGAGATTATGGAATTTCCGTCCTTGGAAGTTTAAGAGCAGGTTAGAGAAATACTTGGCTGTGATGGTTTAGTCAGAGCTGAGTCTGCCTTGAGCAAGGGGTTGGGCTAGATGACCTTCTAAGTTCCTTTCCAACCCTACTTTTCTATGATTTCTAAGTAAATAATATATACAGGGGTGAATCCACTTAATGAATGTTCATGTTTTCAGGGGATGAAAGGCTTCCCTTAAGTTGCCCATATTGTTCAAATGATTTCTTCCTAATAGCTCTACATTTTCACTTTTAGTCCCATTGTGAACTTTAATTCAAAGTTTTAATCCAGATGAAGGGGAAAGGTTGTGGCAAGAGCTAATTGTAACTGGACTTTTCATACATTTGTAGGTAGGGAGCAGAATTTACTTTGGAAATTTGCAAGTCTAATTGAAAAAACAAAGAAAAGTAAAAGTTAGGCTTCAAGATTCTCAGGGAATGAATAAGTAGAAACAGTGTTAGTATATCGTAACAGCAATTAATTTCTTCAAAACCATGACTACAATAAACATTACACTTGCATTATGTTACCTTATGGCAACTGCTTAACGGTTAACCTTCTGTTAATATCGTTGCTTAACAGCTGTAGTGTAAAATTGATCAAAACTTCTGGATTTAAATTCCTTGCTGATGGCATTTAGTTGTCACTTTTTAAATCTATGAGTCTCTCAACACCCATCTACACAATATTTACATAAATTTATTGTATGTTTTTCAGGAGTGTTATAGAGGACAAAGGGTGCTGGGGAATATCTCATACCCGTGTCCCAACAGAGTCTAGACCAGGACATGTTGCACTTATAGCTGGATTTTATGAAGATGTCAGTGCAGTTGCTAAAGGTATGCAAGTATCAAGTCTTAATGCACATTGGATATTATCCTCCAAAACCAAACCATTTGAGGGTTGTGATGGGGTTCACATTGGATGTAAGCACACTTTTGTGGAATCTCCCCCTATTCATATTTATAGACAGAAGCACCGGGCACTAAGAAACTAATAACAGCCTGGACATTTGAGACGATCTAGTGAATTCAAGATTGCTTTAGAAATCTTGAAACTAATGGCTCCAAATTGGTTTTACCAGTTGCACCAATGAATGGGGTACAGTTACATTACAAAGTACTGTGGGATTAAGGAGTTCTTAAGCACATAATCAGTTTATACACGTTAACTGGTATGTAGGTAATTGGTATGGGGTTTTTTAGAATGTAAGCAATGAGTCAAAAGATTGGGATGGGTGGTGTTATATAGCTTAGTTAATTATGCACTTGTTTGATATGTTTGCAGAGTACATTGAAAATAAAAATATTTGCAATATTTGATAAATGTAAGGATCCTAGCACACACACCACGAATAGTAACAGTGCTAAATATGCATCTAACTTAAGATACCATAAAATGGTAAACCAGCCATAAAAATAGTCCACATTTAATGTTGAATATTTTAAAGCTGGTTTGTATGGCACCTTAAATTGAAATGCCTCCTCTTCACATGCAGGTAAAGGTGTTATTGGATCTAATGCATGAGCCCCACAATTGTGCCTCCTGCTATGCCACACATTCATGGCAAGAGGCGCGATTATGGGATAATGCATTAGTTCCCATCATGTCTTATTGCCTGTGTACAGGAAGCTGTGGGGTCTCTGGGTCCTGGATGGCATGAACCACAGATGGCAGCCAGAGCCCCAGAGGTGAAGGTCTCTTTATCCTGGATGTGGGCACTCCCAAGCCTTGGGGATCATGGCAGCTGAGATCCCCAGGGCTCAGGGGTTGCACCCCTGAGACTGGGAGGCTGGTTAGCTGATAGCGCTCCCAGCCACAGAGAAGACCCCGCTACATGTGCAAATTAAAGCTTCATAGCAACCAGGTATAAAATTAGTGCACTTTTTCAAGGTCTGACTTTATAGCTGGTTAGGGCTTTTTCTCATGTGATAGCTACTTTTCATGTGTAGCTGGTCTCAAGGTAATTGCACAGTTAACCAGTGAATTGTGTGATACCTGTAATGTGTAGAGGGGGGCAAAGTGTAGTATATCTAAACACTGGGGCTGTCTGGGGCCAATGCCCAACAAACAGCTAATTGTTGCCTCAGGTCTTCAACTGGCCTGGGGCTGCCCCAGGGCTGATGATGGTGATCAGCATATTGTTGGTACCAGCCACTAGGGCAGCCCTGGCTCTGCCAGCTGGGCCCAAGGCTGTCCTGAGGTCTCCTCCCTTCCAGGGAGCTTAAACCCCATGCTTGGTAGTTACTCAATTTGCATCTGTCCCCAGTCGCAACAACTGTGTGTCCTGCCATGCCACATGTATTACATGGCAGGACATGTGATTGTTGGGATCAGATCCCATCCTATAATAGTTTTAACCTGTGCCAGCAACCTAAGTTGCCTCCTTAGTGTGTTGCAGACCCTTAGAGGTACCAGACATAAACAACACTTTATTGTTACACCAGTGTAACCAAGGAAGGGACACAAGATGAACTTACACCAGCCATAACTCAGTAGAGTCTGGTGTAGGTACTCAGGGTGGGGAGGACAAGACAGCGGCAAGAATCTCCAGGACACTGTGCCATTGTCTTCAGTTATATGCTTTTTGCCACCCAGTGGTGAAATGTTTTAGTGCCTTGTGCAGCAGATACTAGGGCAGGGGCGGGCAATTATTTTGGGCAGAGGGCCGCTTACTGAGTTTCGGCAAGCCATCAAGGGCCGCATGACAGGCAGCCTAGGGCAGATAAATGTTAATTTTCTAAAGCTTTTAGGGGCCCCGCAGGCTAGATAGAATGGCCTGGCATGCTGCATCCGGCCTCCGGGCTGCATTTTGCCCACCTCTGTACAAGGGATATCTATTCATTTGTCTGCCCCTAATCCTGGTATTATGTATTTTGGTGTGCAGAACATATATCAAGTACACTCGTGTACCTGTGCGCCCAGCCCCATGAACTCAGAAGCTAGGAAAAAAGACCTTGCTATTAACTGAGTGTTAAGAGTGGTGATTAGTGCTGTCATCTGATTACTGTACACTTCTTCACATTCTCAAATCCAGCTTTAAGCAAATGCAGTAATTGGGATGCCCTAAAGTAAATTTTTAAAAGACATGCAAAGAAATCAGTATTTTAAGTATCTTTCTTCCTGCATTTCTACAGCCATATGAACAAAATAATACAGAGCTGTGGAAAATTGAGATGACAAGATGCACTTATGTCACTACGAAATGACTGTATTATCTACTTGTTTGTTCTTTTTAATTTAGAAGGTACTTTTAGCAGCAGGCATTCATCCTGTGCTCTGAGATCAAACCAAATATATTACCAATTTCATTGTTGGAAAATTAAATCAATTTGCTTGAAAAAATGTAGAGATGTAGTTAGCTATGTTAGTCTGAAGTTAGTCTCTTAGGTACCATCCTGCCCTGCCTTCTGTTTGAAAAAAATGTGCGCGCGCTGAGGAAGCTCTTTCTTTTTCTCAAACGCCTGGGTGTCTGAACCTCCCAACATGATAAGAAAGCTGCTTGTTGTTTTTCAGTCTAGACAGCCTTTGAACTCTTACTTTAGTGGGAACTTTGTAGTAGATTTTGTGAAGGCCAAACCTTCCGTTGGTATATGGGTATTAGCCATTAGGATAACCTTCAGTGAGTACTGCCTACTTGAATGGTGAAAGTAAAGTTTAGCTTTCTATTAATTGTACATGCTCAATGTATAAAGCATAAACAACTGGTGCCTCCCAAGACTGGGGGTGGGGCACAATTTGTGGGCATTGGTGTTGGCGGTGGGGTGGCAAGTGGCTACCGCCTGCAGAAGCTGGTGGCAGGAGGGGAGGAGGTGGTAAGTGGCCACAGAAACTGGCAGTGGCCAGTCTCAGGGTAAGCATGTGCCCCCCCTGTGGCTCACCTATGATATAAAATCTAGAAGTTGTCTTTCTTTGGGAAAAATAGTAACTTGCATATCTGAAAAATGTGAAAGGATGTGGCTTAGACTTTCTAAGCCATTGCATTTGGGCAGAGACCAACTGTAAAATATCAACAAAAAAGGAATAATTTTGTGTTGATGATTATATACAAATGGCATTAAAATGTGAGTAAAAATATAATCTTAACTATAGTATCTACTATGAAGTACCACAGGAGAGACTTTAAAATTGTCCCCTAGTTGCTGCTGTGCTTGAAATCTTTATATAGTCAGCCACATCTGGCTCTGTTATGCTTGGGCAACTGCATTAAAATCAGTGTTTTCTTTGCTTGACAGGGTGGAAGGAGAACCCTGTGGAATTTGATTCAGTTTTCAATGAAAGTAAATATACTTGGAGCTGGGGAAGCCCAGATATTTTGCCTATGTTTGCCAAAGGTAAGCTTAGATTTTCAGTCTCTTCCATTGTCAATACTTAAAAGTAGAAAAAAGTCAGAATAGAATATTTTTGCACGTTCTAATAGTAAGCAGTTGTTTAAATTGTTATCATTATTATAAACTATATATTCACATATAATGAATAAAATCCTGTGGAAGTGCTACATGAGTAATAGAAGCTCTTTTCTAGTGAGTGAACTGAAATCTTCATCGATTACATCAGTAATATGTAGTTGTAGTGAGTTGTAGTGTCACAATACACTGCATGCTGCTGTGTGTTGTCTACCATTTGCTGTAAATATAGGGTAGAGAAAATTGTTGGCAGACTAAAAAAGGAATAAGCTTTTGTCTTTCCTTCTTTTAAAAAAAGCATAATTTCTTACTACCAACATTTGTCTGTTCTTGTATCTTACCTACCCGTGTATATGCCGTACAAGGGGAAGAGACAGTCTTCCCTTTTCTACTAAGTGAGTACAAAACCTGTTACCTCCATGTACTTAGGGTTTCAAAATGCCTCCAAGAGGACAAAGGCTTTCTCCTCTCCCTTTGTGTCTCTGCCAGCACAGAGTGCTGGGCTTACCAAGGAAACAGGCTACACCTTCCACCACCAGGCTTTTTTGCAGCTCCCCACTTTCTGTGAGCTGTGTCCAGTGGAGCAATTTGAGCTTTAAGACTGATTGTGTAACTTTTCATTTTAATCATGCAAAAACTACGTTTTTGTAGTTTAATTTTTATTAAAGTCTGTAGATTTGATATATGGTTTTCATTATGAGCTGGTATTAGATATTACTTTCCTCATCTGGTATGGTGCCCGATTGATGTATTAGGTGGTAAAGGAATTTACTATGTTTTCCCCCTTCTAACAGTAAAATATAAATGAGAGTACAATATATAGGAGTACAAACACAGACTGTCCTTAAGATGAGGCTTGGATGCATAGTATGATTTTTTTTCCCCCGTGGACTGGAAGAGTAAAGATAGCAAACCTGGACCTTGCAGGGCAAGAATTGTTTGTATCACAATCAGCAGTGACATTTCAGCTAATTAAGGAGCCTCACAAGGGAATCCCATTCATCTTCTGTAAAAAGACTGGCAGCTGCATTCTTTGTGCTTTAGGAATTTAAGTCATGTAAACAGAGGGTAAAAAGGACAAATCAAGACCCCTTGGGGCTGAAAGAGGATATGAAGGAACAACCCTGTCCTTCCCTTACTTCTTTCTTCCTTCCTCTCTCCTTAAGCCAAGAAAATACTTGCAGCTGGGTGTGGCAACAATTTGCTGATCTTGTCCCCCAACACAATTTTAGAACTAACAAATGTCCTAAACATTTCATGGCAATACTTGTATTTTGCCTGAGCTCTGATAGATTTGGAGATTAGATTAAGAATTTCCTTCCTTCTGTTTTTCCACTTATGCATCTGTCTTAAATGCTTTCTGACTAGCTGTCCAACAATCTCTTCTTGGTTACTTGTGTTTTCTCAGGACCTTTGTTTGAGGCTTGGATTTGGGTCATGGAAGAGATGGTATTCAGACCCGCCCTTTGGCAGATTGTTGAATTTTTCAGCCATATGTTCTTGGGAAAACGTTTGGGGAATTCAGAAATTATTTTAGCTTTATTACACTGAACTATCCTGTACTGGTTTCATTTGAGAGATACTCAGAAACTACGCGTATAGCAGCATGTTGAAGCTGATCACTAAACAGTTGCAACCCTGGGAACTGGATTGTAATCAGTCATTTCAAAGAGGGAGTTAATTAACTCATTCTGTATTAGTAAGGAAAACTCACTTGCAGCAAAGTTCATTTGCTAGCAGCGTAGACTACTTACTAGATGACTTTAGGAAGTCCTTTGACACTGTCTCTCACCCTATTCTCATTAAAAAACTAGGGGACTGTGGTGTCGACACCTACACAGTCGAATGGGTCACTAACTGGCTGGAGGGCCACACCCAGAGAGTGGTGGTGGATGGGTCATTTTTGACCTGGAGGGATGCGGGCAGTGGGGTCCCCTAGGGCTTGGTCCTCGGGCCCGTACAGTTCAACATCTTCATCAGTGACTTGGACGAGGGGGTAAAAAGCACCCTGTTCAAATTTGCTGATGACGCTAAGATGTGGGGGGATGTGGGCACGTTAGAAGGGAGGAATAGGCTGCAATCGGACCTAGATAGGTTACAGGGGTGGGCGGATGAGAACAGGATGGGTTTCAACACTGACAAGTGCAAGGTGATGCACCTGGGGAGGAAGAACCAGCACCATACCTAGAGGCTGGGGAACTCCCTTCTCATCAGTGCAGAGGCAGAAAAGGATCTTGGAGTCATCATTGATGCCGGCAGTGTGGGGATGCAGTCAGGAAGACCAACTGCACCTTGTCATGCATCCACAGATGCATCTCAAG